GTTCCTCACAGTACCACAGGAGTTTCAATATCCCAGAGACCTGATCATCTCTGACACCCCAGAGTCGCTGCTTCTCCGTAGTGGACTCCCTACAGCTCATGCCTCTTCCTCAGAGACACAACACCACTCCCCTTCATCACCGAGGATCGCACCACCCTTCTCTAGCAAGGAAGAAGAGGAGGAAGAGGAGACATATTCCATTGCACCATGCACTCCACCAGCATATCAAGGGCAGCCATACAGAGAATCATCTCATCCATGATATCCAAACACCAGAAGCAAACCAGGCCTCTGGTACAGACCCCCATGGATACAACCCCATATGCCAGTGGTTTTCAAACCACAGGTCGTGACCCAGTACTGGGTCGTGGAATGTAAGGCACTGGGTCCCGACAACTCTGGTCAGCACCACCGATCGGGCCGTTAAAAGTCCCATTGGCGGTGCTACCTGGCTAAGGCAGGCTAGTTCCTGCCTGTTGTGACACCTAACTGTGCCCAAGAAGTGGCCAGCAGCAGGTCCGGCTCATAGGCGGGGAGGCCATGGGGATCCGTGCACTGTCCCCGCCCCGAGCACTGGCTCCACACTCCCATTGGTCAATGGGAGCTAGGGGTCGGTGCCTGCGGGCGAGAGCCACGCAGAGCGGCTTGCGCACCTCCACCTAGGAGCCATACCTGCTGCTGGTCGCTTCTGGGGCACAACACGGTCTGCAATGCCAGGACAGGCAGGAAGCCTGCCTCTGCATCCCCACTGCGCTGCTGACTGGGAGCCACCTGAGGTAAGCCCATGCCCCGAGCGCCTGCCCCAGACCTGAGCCCACCCCCCAAACCTGGAGCCCCTTCCTGCACCCCAAACTCCTCATCCTCAGCGCCACCCCAGAGCCTGCACCCCCAGCCCAAAGCCCCCTCCCACACCTTGAACCCCTCATTCCTGGCCCCACCCCGCAGTCCTCACCCCTGCACCCCAACCCTCTACCCCAGTCCTGAGCCCCCTCCCACATCCCAAGCCCTTCATCCCTAGCTCCGTTGGGTTGCAGGCATCAACAATTTTCTTCAACTGGGTTGCCAGAAAAAAAGTTTGAAAACCACTGCCATATGCCAGTTCCCGTACATTAGCCCTATTGGAACCCATGGGCTGCATATAGGGTGTACTTTCCCAAACCGCCTGCAGAGCGGAGACAGAGATAAATACACCCTCTGTCTTCATCAGCTCTATACCACCTGAAACTGAACCAAAAGCACGAGAGAAGCAGGAGGAAGAAACTGATGTAGAGGTTACACCGCAAACCCACTATTCCTCATCTTCCCCCAGTGAGGCCATCATGCTATCACCTCCAACATCGGCGGACACTTTTAAATAGTTCCAAAAACAGTTCTGCAGGATTGCGGACTCTCTCCAGAATCTTCCTCTGGAGGAAGTCAGAGAGCAACAGCACAAGTTGCTTGACATCTTGCAGGCCTCTACATCAGCAAAGAGCACTCCTGATCAATGAGGCCTTGTTAAATCCTGCCAAGGTGATCTGGCAGACCCCAACGTCAATACCACCCACCTGCAAGTGAGTGGACAATACTATGTCCCCACTAAGGACATGGAATTTCTCTTTTCCCACCCTACTCCAAACTCCCTTGTTGTCAATGTGGTACAAGAACAAGGGGAAACAACACCACTCTAGGACAACTCCCTAGGACAAGTTAGACCTCTTCAGTTGTACAGTAACGCCTCGCTTAACGTTGTAGTTATGTTCCTGAAAAATGCGACTTTAAGTGAAATAATGTTAAGCGAATCCAATTTCCCCATAAGAATTAATGTAAATGGGGGGGGTTAGGTTCCAGGGAAATTTTTTTTCCACCAGATAAAAGACTATATTATATATATATATACATACACAGTATAAGTTTTAAACAAACAATTTAATACTGTACACAGCCATGATGATTGTGAAGCTTGGTTGAGGTGGTGAAGTCAGAGGGTGGGATATTTCCCAGTGAATGCCTTACTGCTAAATGATGAACTAGTACTCGGCTGAGCCCTCAGGGGTTAACCCGTTAATGTAGCCTCACGCTCTACAAGGCAGCACAAATGGAGGGAGGGGAGACAGCATGGCAGACAGAGACAGGACACACACCATGTGTGTGTGTGTGTGTGTGAGAGTGAGAGAGAGAGAGAAAGATGCACATTGCCCCTTTAAGTACGCTGACCCCACTTTAAGTACATTGCCTTTTTAAGTAGATCAGCAAGTTGAGACAGCAGCTGCTGTGAGCAAGCTCCCTTCCTGAGCCCTGTCGTGTCCCCCTCCCTCCCCCCCCGCTCTATGGAGATGGGGTAAGTGGGGGGCAGGAGCAGGGGGGCCCCCTGACATTAGCCCCCCTCTTCCCCCACCCGCACAGCAAGCAGGAGGCTCCCGGGAGCAGCTCCAAGGCAGAGGGCAGGAGCA